TTATATTTATGAAATTTATAGATTTAGGAAATGCTTTTTTTATATAGTTTTTTATAGTCATGCATATGATTTGAATGTGCAGAACTTTTTCTGTTCTGCTTAACTTAATTTTTCTCAGCTGGTAGTAGTAACCAGATGTCAGTACTCAGAAATACAAAATCATAGCACATGTACCTACAACATATAATCTATTTCAAGCTCTTAACAGACCACAGGAGTATCTGGAAAGTACACAGTGATAATAGCTACTTTAATGTGCCTCTTTACAAGATGATTTAGGTGTTTCTCAGAATTTTGTCATGACCTTCACATTAAAAAAAAAAACAAATAAAAACACAACACTGGAAAATTTACGTATCCTGCCCCTATTGTATTTTTTTGTTTGCTTGTTTTTTGGTGAGGTAGTCAGGGTTAAGTGACTTGCCCAGGGTCACACAGCTAGTAAGTGTCAAGTGTCTGAGGTCAGATTTGAACTCAGGTCCTCCTGACTCCAAGGTTGGAGTTCTATCCACTACGCCACCTGTTCCTTGCCTCCCTTGATATTTTGTGAAGGAGAGTTGTCAACCAATGTCATGGCCCAAGAAATTTTGAATAATTTGTTCTTCACTCATTTTCAGTTGTGTCTAACACTTCATGACCCATTTGGGGTTTTCTTGGTAAAAATACTGGAATGGCTTGCCATTTTCTTCTCCAGTTCATTTTACAGATGAGGAAACCGAGGTAAACAGGGTTGTGACTTGCTTAGGGTCACACAGCAAGTAAGTGTCTGAAGCCAGATTTGAGCTCATGAAGATGAGTTTTCTGGACTCCAGGCCCAACACTCTATCTTATTGGCCTTTTGAATAATTTAGATGTGTGGATAGGAGATACCAGTAGTATTGTGCTCTGCTAAATCAAGTGTGCTTTTTTTTTTTTTTGTCACTGAACAAGACAGAGAAGAATCTTGTATTCTTTATATTTTTCAGTCAGTTGTGTGATGGTAAATAGTGGTCTATTGTGTAATATTGCTTGCAAAAGTCTTCCTAATCCCTAAGCATATCCTTTTCAAGAATGCTTTCAGTATGTGTATAAATGATTCTCATAAAAATTTTATGTAGATGCAAAGATAGAATTATAGGTTGGTAGTTGTGGATTTCTCCATCTCCTTTTTATAAATTTTATTAATTAGGTCTGAGATTTTTCCATATCGTTGGTATTTTATTCTCCTTCAGATATCTTGTGAATTAGTCTCTCAACCTCACCATTATGTGGTCCCTATCATGTCTACAATACATACTTGTTCTAATCCAACTTCTTTTTCCATATTTGTTCACCTTGATGTAATACTTCTATAAGCATATCCATCATTGTGATCTTAGAATCTAAGCTTGGTAGCTTCACTATCCTTGATGGTGAAAAAATTTTTATAAAAATCTTTGCTGTTTTTTTCCATTTTCCTTCTCTTTGTTATCCTTCCATTTTGTCTTTGAGGTGAATCTGCTTTGCTGGATCTCTTGGCAAACTTTCTCTAAATTGTTTTTTCCCTCCACTGTTTTCCTGTTTTATGAGGTGTTTCTATTCATAATGTCTTTGGTGATCAAGTTGTGTTTGCTGATTGAGGCAATTTTTTAGACTTTTAAAGGTTTTCTTATTTTGGCAATTGATTTCTACCAGTTAAACTTTATAAAAATATTACTCAAAATCTTATGGAAGTGAATGTTGAAAACTAAAATTTAGTTAATTGTAAATAAATAAAAGTATTATAATCCATCTGTGTATTCTTTTTTCATTCAGTGCCCATATTTTAAACTATCAATAAGTTGTTTGACTTATCAGGATTGAGTTGCCATATATGTACACATATATATGCCATATATTCTTCTGATTTTTGTTCTTTTATCTAACTTTGTACTAATTTTGATCTTTACTTTTAACATTAACAGTCTGATTGTACTGAGTCAATTTCCTGCCTATTAGCATGTAAGCTTTTTATTTTTGGTGATATTATTCAGTGTTTGCCATGACTAAAACCTTCCTATCCTTTTCTTGAGAAAAGTATATAGATGTGAGTTTTCTATATTGTTTACAAGTCTTTGTCCTCTCTCATTTCTTTTTCTTACCATTTTTATCTATTACTATTTTTAAATTGAGGTCACCCAATATCAAAGAATATGTTCATTTCATTTAGAGTTTTATCAAGTTCTTCTTAGACTCTATGCCTGTCTACCAATTTATGTGCTTCTCTGTTTCTTCTGATTTGATTTATAGCAAGAACATTAAAACTGATATAACTCAGTTCCTTCAGTAGTCTGTCCATGCATTGACCTTTAAACAAGGATACCAAAAGCCAAATTAAAATTTGTTTGATGGTCTTAATAGCTTTAAAGCTGTTAAGTGCCTCAGTGCCTTCTTTTAGCACTTTGCCATTGCCTCTGCAGAAGCAGAAGGACTGGGACCATACGGGTTTATTTTTCTTTCTTTCTTTCTTTTTTTTTTTCATGAGTTTCCATCTTCAAGTGGCCACGCTACTGATTTCTCTAGCTTAATCCTCAAACTGAAGACACAATCTCTTTCTCAGATCATACTTGAAACGTTTCTAGCATGGTAGAAGCTGCTGGTGCTTATAATCTCTGACCAGTTAGGTCACCTCTGTTCCACATAGAGGCATAGGAGTAGGACTTTATGGAAGAAAAAATTTGAAAATTGCAGAATATTTTATCTAATAAGGATATGTTTTTAGTGGCTGTATCATTATACTTCATGTACTAAGAATCCTCCAAAATGCAGCATAAAATTAAATTGTACTGTCTCAAACTACCTTCTGTAGCTAGGATATATGCTTTGCCTTTCTAATACTGATTCTTTTTCCAAGTCATACATGTTCCCTTTCCTAGTTCTCATTGTAACCAACTCTAAACATTTGCAAAGCAGTTTCATGAAATTAAGTATATTGTGACCACAGAACAAAATTTCATATGGGTTCATAAGACATCAAACAAGCTTGTTAAAAAGAATTCAAGTAACTGGTATATGCCAGGCACTATAGTAAGCAGGGAGACAAAGAAGCAGTCCCTACTCTCAAGGAGTTCATAGTTTAATGGGCCGTTAAGGCCTCATTCCCTTCATGTTTTAACCAGATAATGAGATCGCAGATCTATTGGAGCATTTCAGTCTCTGAATCTTGAAATTTAAGTTATTTTTGAGACAGACTTTTTTTTAGTCTTTAAGTAAAACTTGTAAAATAATATATAAAGTAATTATTTAACAGTCTTATTCAAATTGTAGATCAAGGAAATTTTGTATACATACTTTAGATTTTAGCAGAGCATTTGATAAGATATTTTATACTATTCCTGTTGAAAAGCTGGAGAGTGTGGACTAGGCAATAACACATTTATATAAATTTACCATTGTTTGAATGGTTGGAATCAAAGAATAGTTATTAATGACTATTGAATGATTGAATGATATATTGAATGATTATTCAATATCGACTTGGTCTCCAGTGAAGTGCTCCAGGGATCTGTTCTTGGCTCTGTTCTTTTTAACATTTAAATTTTTTTAAAAAAATTTTATCAGTGTTTCAGGTAAAGACGCAGATAGTATAGTCATCTGTGGAAGACACAAAGCTGAAGACAGCTAACACGCTCTTTGACAGAGTCAGGGTCCAAAAAGATCTTGACTAGCTAGAGCTTTGGGCTTAATCTAATGATATGAAATTCAGCAAAAATAAATGTAAAGTCTTGCTTACCCTTGGGTTCGAAAAGTCAACTTAACAAATAAAAGATGGAGAAGGCATAGTTGGACAGCAATTGTTCTGAGAAAGATCTGACAATTAGTAAACTATAAGCTTGATTTGAGTTACTATATAATGTGGTAGCCAAAAGAAGCCAATTAAATTTTGGGCTGTAATATTAAAAGGGCATAGCATCACAGAATAAGGAGATGATAGTTTTCCTATACTCATCCCTAATCAGTCCACATCTGGAGTATTGTATATTTTGGGCACAATAATTTAATAATGATTGATATTAATAAGCTGAAAAGTAACTAGAGGAAGGCTACCAAGATGTTGAAAGTCCTTGAGGCCATGCCATATGGACTTCAGTTTAAGGAAATAAGGATGCTAAGCCAGTAGAAGAGAAAACTCAAAGGAGATGTGATAGCTATGTTTAAGTATTTGAATTTTTTCTGTTTGGTCTCAGAGGGCAGAACTAAGGGCAATGGGTAGAAGTTGCAAAGAAGCAAATTAAAGGCTTTTGGAAAAACTTCCTAACAGAGCTATCTAGAAATAGCATGGGCTCCCTTAGCTGTGAGGTTCTGCTTCATTAGAGGTCTTCAAGGATATCATAGTAGGGATTCCTTTTTTCCCTCTTCTTTGGATTAGACTAATGGTTTCTGAGGTCTATTCCAACTTGAAAAATCTTTGATTTGTAGAAAAATTTCATATAATACCAAAAAAAAAAATATAAGCTCTGTCATTCTAGTTTTTGGTTTCTGTTTTGTTTTGCTTTTTTAATGAAGAGATAAGGAATGTTACCAGTGTCATAGTAATCTTGTGCTTGTTCTGACACGGCTTCTGTATTTTTTTTTAATTCCAACAACACATTGTTCTTAACCACAAAAAAAAAATTCCTGCTCACCAACACAATACTTTTTAATGTCTTTTTTTTCCCCTCAAATAATAAAATATAACAAAGGAAACAGGTCACCTAAGTTATGCTTGTCCTAAAAATGTGCTTGGAGAACGTGAACCACCAAAAAAGAAAGAAAAGAAAAAAAGAAAGAAAATTATTGAACTGGAAGAAGAAATGTGTGTATATCATTCTTCTCTGAGAATAAGATATTACATTGCCTAATGTGTACCTACTATAGGTCATGTATGTTCTGATTTGAGTGAAAAATATAGAAATGTACATATAGAGAGAGAGTTGTGTATATATAATACATATACATATGTATGACATATATATAATATGGACACACATCTATGCATGTGTATGTATATGTGTGTGTTTCAGTGAAGAAGTGGAAGAAAGTGAAGATGAAGAAGACCCTGCTCTTGATAGCCTCAGCCAAGCTTTCCAGGTTAGTATAAGTTTGCATCTTCCTGCAGTTAGCAACTCAATACATTTTGCATACTGCCAGAAACCACTTATGTAGGCATGCAAGAGCCACAGGAGCCCTACTTCTCTGTATCACCACTTGTCTCTCCACCTTTCCACTCTTCCACATAAACTGGGAGAAAAAAAATTTTCTGTCAAGACAAATGGGTATAATGTGTTAGAGTAGCATTTCCAGTGTTCTTCTAGACCAGTGTCCCACAGTGTTTTTCATAGTCTTGCCTCTACTTCTACTACAGAGGCAAAAAGTGAAACTGATTTTAATTACTATATGACAGAAGAAAAATCTTCATTTACCCACATCATTGTTTCCTGAAAGAACTCCACCAAAAAAAGGTAGAAAAGTTGTATACTCATCCATGGTGAGTACAAAAGAAATACCTTTGAAAATAGTGGATATAATTTCCTTATTTGAGTAAAAATTATTTTTATGACACTGTAGCTTGGGTTATTTAATGTAAAAAGCATAAGTCAAATTCTTTTTTCCATTCATTTGACCAGTACTGACATTTGGCATTTATATAATGCTTAAGAGTTTGCAAAGCGATTTCCTCACAATAGTCTTATGAAGTTGGTAGTACAAGTATTGTTATTCCCATTATACAGATGAGGAAACAGGTTTTGAAAGATTCAATGTCTTGCCTGTGATTATACACATCTTATTAGTGTTGAAGGTAGGATTACAACCCAAGTGTCATGACTCTTTCTCCACTGCATTATCCATTGTACTACACTGACTTTCATTAAAAAATAAGCAAAAATGATTTTGTATAATAAAAATACAATTATAACTTTGAGTTATTCTCAGTATAAAAGAAATAATATCTAAACTTTTTTCTTAAATCCATTATATAGCAAGCTAAAATTGAAGAAGACCAACAAAGATGGAAGCCCAGTGCAAGGGAACCCTCAACATCAGATGATTCAAAACGCCCAACGATAAAGAAAAGTGCACATTTCAGTGATGAGGAAGAACTTAGTGACTGAAATTGATTTATTATGTACATATCACCGAAATATGAAAATCTTAAAGCACAGTTTAATTGGTGTTAAAATTACTCTTGGAATTTTTAATATAAAACTAACCTGTTTTGTACTTTAAAACCAGGATTACAAAGTTACTTTCATGGGAGCAAAAAAAAAAATTTAAAAGTGTTTCTAAATTTATTAATTTTTTTTTTTTGGTGAGGAAATTGGATCTAAATTTATTTTAATAGAGGAATAAAAATCCAATTTTGCTTCTAAAACTATTACCCTTCTAAAACCATACCTAAATGCAACCTAAACAGTTGCATTCAGTAATAAGAATAAAACTAAGTTGCCAAATATTGTCATGATGCTACTGCAGACGTGCATTAAAGAGCTGAAGAAAATGCATTTAAAAAGCTATTAAAAAGTTAGAGCTTTCTTCACATTTCACATGTCAACTTGAGCACTTCTCAAAATCTAATTTTTTTTTTTTTTTTGGCTAGGCAATGGTGTTAAGTGACTTGCCCAGGGTCACACAGCTAGTAAGTGTTATGTGTCTGGGGCCGGATTTGAACTCAGGTCCTCTTGACTCCAAGGCTAGAACTCTATCCACTGCGCCACCTAGCTGCCCCATCAAAATCTAATATTAACAAAAGCTTCCTAAAAATTAAAGAAAGTCAGGGACTTAATAGTATTTATAAAGAACATTTATAAATTTAAAATTTAAAGAAATTTTATAAAAAATTTATAATTTTAAAGAACATAAATATGTTCTTTACTAAAGTTCCCAAAATAATTTTTTTTAAAGAATGAATGAAAAAAGAAAAAGAAATGAATATCAGGATTTTGGGGAAGGGGAATAGAATTTACTATGTATTCTACTTATATAAAACACAAATAAGTTAATTATATAAATAAATGACTACCTGACATAATGCTTTAGAATCTGAGTCACCCTTCCAACTATAAAATCATTAAAAAGTCACGTCTCTTTGGATTCTGCCATTGCCTATTCATTACTGACAGTTTTCAAATATCCATAAAGTCCAATCAGTTTCTTCAAAAATGTCCCCACATTAGCTTCCTCTAGAAGAAGGAAGGTATTTTACTGCACTTTTTTTTAAAAAAAATCCTTTGAGAAAATGAGAAGTGAGTTTTACATTTTGTTCTAATAATGGTTCTGTATATTAGCCAAAAATCTCATTATTCTTGGTATTTTGGTTTGAAGCCATCCAACATGAGTTCTCATAGCCCCGTATCCTCCATTCCTCAAAATTCAGCATCATCACCTAATCTCCTTCCCTGATAACACAAAAAGTATCCCAGTTCCTCACTAAGACTAAGTTCTTTGCCTATACCTAAATTGACCATACATCTGTATGAACAGATGCAAAACAAAGGATATAGAACTGGGAGAATAATTTACACAATAACCAAAATAATGAAAAGTATGTCGAGGGTTGTCTAGAATGCAGTTCATGTACAGGGGTAGCATGGAGATCCCAGGTATCTCTGGGATCTGGCTCAACTGTCTCTGAAAGGTGCATTAGAAAAGACATATCTACCTGCCATCTTAAATATTTCTGGCCTAGGGGTATGAGTCAGGTTTAAAACCAAAACTGCTTTGGTTCCTAACCCTTAGCTTAAGGGGAGAGAGTACCCCCAAGCTTACACACATCAACTTGCACCTTTCCCACCAAACACTGATTACACTAAAGACCATCACAAATGTGGAATAGTTATTAAACCCATGTATCTCCAAGCAAACAACATACATAAATTGGAGATTTTTAAACAGATTAGAAATGCTAGGAAATATGCAAGACTGAATGAGCCCTTTTCTGGGAGTCGGATGAGGTCATCTCATCTCAAAAGCAAGAGAGGCTCTCCCAAGGAAAAAATCTCAGAAATCACTAGAGAGGCAAGCTGGATATCAGAGACATGCTGAGGAGCTATAATTTATTTAGAGAGACAACAACCAAACATACCTAGAAACAAGCTATGAAGAGAATAGACAGGAAATAAAAGAGAGAAGGCTCTATGATTAGGGAGTATTGGAAAAGGCTTCCTATAGATTAAAAATGGGAAGGAAACCAGAGAAGCCCATAGGTAGAAATGAGGGAGAGAATTCCAGACTTTGAAGATAGCCAACCTGGAGCTGTCTTATTGGCTCCGTGGCATGTCTTATTCAAGAAATAATAAGGAGGCCAATGTCACTAGTTCAAAGAGTCACTTCAAGAGAAGTAAGGTGTAAGAAGACTGGACAGAGAGTGAGAGGTGCACTGAGTTATGAAGGGCTTTGAACACAAAATGGATTTTGTATTTGATCTGAAGGTGATAGTACTGGAGTTTACCAAATAGGGGGGTAGGTTAGTAAGGGCCTATGCCAGAGTGGAGGCAGTATCAGAGAAGAGAAGGTACAAAGGTGAAATCAACAGACCTTGGCAACAGATTAGATGAGAGGCAGTGAGAAATAGGAGTAAGGATAACCCCTAGTTTGTGAGCCTGAGGGACTAGGAGGATGGTATTACCCTCTACAATAATAGGAAAAGTAGAAGGGGGAGAGGGGAAAGATGAGTTCCATTTTGAACATGTTGAATTTACAATGTCTACTGGACATTGACGTGTATGAGATGTCTGAAAAGCAATTGGAGATGCAAGGTTAAAGGTCGGCAGAGAGATTAAAGCAGTATAGATAGATTTGAGAATCATCAGCATAAAGATTGTAATGGGAATTGTAAAGGGAGGTGGCTCAGTGGATAGAGCACCGGCCCTGAAGTCAGGAGGACCTGAGTTCAAATCCAGCCTCAGACCAAATACTTGACACTTACTAGCTGTGTGACCCTGGGCAAGTCACACACAAAAAAAAGATTGTAATGGAAGCTGATGAGATCACCAAGTGAAGTAAAAAGAAGAGAAAGAACTCTTTGGGATACCTGTAGTTGAAGGATATAAGGATATGATCTGGATAAGGATCCAGCAAAGGAGAATAAGGAACAATAGGAGAACCGAGAGAAAAGGTGTCCCAAAAATTTAGAAGAAAGTATCAAGGAGGAGAGAGTGATCATCAGTGTCTAAAGACCGTTGGATTTGGCATAATTAATTGCTATGTTATGATACATGAAAAAGTTATTGGTACTGTTTTCGTAATTTGAATTCATGTCTGTTGTGTTGTTTAAGTACCATGTGCCACAAAACATTTTGCTATGATATTGCACATTTATTGTTTGCATTAATATCTATGTACTAATGTAAGACATATAGGAAAATTTCTAGAAAAAAATGGAAACTAATGCAGTAGAGTGGTACTATTTTGTTTTTAAAGTTGAAAAGCATAGTCTCCTAATATTAGAAATAGATCCAGTTCTTAAGAATGAAGATATATTAGGAAGAAAAATGAAACACTGGGGAGAGTATACAATTAAGACCACAATTAACACAGGTGAGAAAACTCAGGAAGATTTTCTAGTCTCCCTGAGAATTTCGACTGTGTGTGTGTGTGTGTGTGTGTGTGTTATGTGTATGCATGTATAATTGATAACTTTCTGATGATCTTAAAGACATGGGAGTCTTTCTAATCAAAGAGACAGTCCTGTGGAGAAACTGAATGTCACAATAAAACCTAAAAATGCCATTTCATCTGTAAGTAAGGCTGAAGCAATACCCTATATGGTTATACTATAGGACTATTTTCAGCTATTACTTGGTAACCTAACACACAAACCAGTTAGCCTATAATGGAAGATGTTGTGTTAGTCTTGTCCCTCAATACCAGAGTTATAAATTCTACTTCTTCCTATTTTTTTCTTTTGCTACTCTTTAATCTTACCTGCTTTTCAATTCGCAGATTTTTTTACTTTGGTTACCTTATTCTGTAGATATTGTTTCCTTTGTTTGAAATTAAATTAAAATCATATCTGCTGTTTTTTGAAATCTTAAAAAATACCCTATGTGGTAAACAAATACCAGAGGCTGCATATTGGCATTTTTCCTGGGTGTGAACTATGTCCCCCAGGAAATCAACACTGGGAGACATGATTTGGACAGGTAATCATAGGCCTGACATATTGGAAGACCCCTAAGCTAGATATAATGATGATACTGACAAGAAAATCTAAGGGGGACAGCCAGAATAGCAATAAATAACCTCCTTGATACAAGGTCAGATGTCATCTGGCATATTCAGGTATACCAACTGATGAGATGTCAATGAAGAGTGGAGGATTAGAAGATGTCTATACTAATTTCAACTCTAATACTGTACAGCATAAAGGAAAAAAGCCTATCAAATTCCTCCTCGGAGTGGAGCAATATATGGGGACACATACAGATAGGTACTGTGGATCCTGAAAATAAAAGTAAAATGGCATTGTAGAAATTAAGCCAGGGCTTTGTTACATGATCCTCATGTTTCTCATTCATCACGACCATGCAGATACAGAAACCACTGGACTCAACCTCAGCAGACTCCACAATCAAGAAAGTGTGGGGTCTGCTGAGGTTGAGTCCTTTGTAGTAGATCTACCCCTGAAGTTCAGGAATCTCACCTCAAAAGTTGTGGGCAATTGTTTCTGTGTCTGCATGGTCGTGATGAATGAGAAACATGAGGATCATGTAACAAAGCCCTGGCTTAATTTCTACAATGCCATTTTACTTTCATTTTCAGTCCTTCAAACCAATCAAGTCCTAGGGATGGCCTCCTGCTTGGAGATGGCTTAGATCCTTGCATTGCTGAGAAGGGCTAAGTCTATCAGTAACAGTCATGGTACAATGTGGCTGTTACTGTGTACAATGTTTTCCTGGTTCTGCTCACTTCACTCAGCATCAGGCCATACGAGTCCTTCCAGGTTTTTCTGAAGTCTGCTTTCATTTCTTAGAGCACAATAGTATTCCATTACATTCATATACCACAACTTGTTCAGCCATTCCCCAATTGATGAGCATCAATTTCCAATTGATTTCCAATTCTTTGCCATCACAAAAAGAGCTGCTATAAATATTTTTGTACATGTGGGTCCTTTTTCCATTTGTATGATCTCTTTGGGATACAACCTTAGAAGTGCTATTGCTGGGTCAAAGGTTATGCACATTTTTATAGCCCTTTGGGCGTAGTTCCAAATTGCTCTC